GATCATAGAACTTTCAAGGTTTTTCTTTAATTGATTAAACAATGAGGGCATTTCCATGTTTTGAATAGACACCATCGGATTAGAAGTTGTCTTGGGATCATCAGGGAACAAGGAGGGATGGAATCCATAATTTGAAAAGAGTCATTTTGCTGCTTGAATGTATGGAATTATTATAGGCAAGTTCAGCCATAGGTAACCAATTAATCCAATCATCTTGTAAATATGTGCAGTAACAACGAAGGTATTGTTCCAGACATTGATTGACTCGTTCGGTTTGGCCATTGGTTTGAGGATGGTATGCAGAAGAGAGTTTACGTTGGATTCGAAGTGAAGAACACATTTCCTTCCAGAATCGTGAAGTGAATTGGGAACCTCTGTCTGAGATTATTTCTTCAGGGAATCCATGTAATTTGATTATATTGAAGACTTTGGAAAGTTCAGAGGATGAGGGTAACTTTTTTAAGGGAATGAAATGTGACATTTTTGTTAAACGGTCTACGACGAGGATGGTGGTGTATTTCTGAGAAGGAGGGAGTTCCACCATAAAATCCATGGAAATAGATTGCCAAGGTCTTACAGGGACTGGTAATCCCATCAATAATCCGTAAGGAAGCTGATGTTCTGCTTTGAATCTTTGACAAACTGGACATGATTTAACATAAGTTTCAATGGTTTTATCTTGATGAAGCCACCAATATTGTCTCGTAGAGAGTTCAATTGTCTTTTTTTATCCCTGGATGTCCAGCAAGAGGAGAATCATGAATTAATTTTAGAAGTTTGCTCCGTATTTTTTTAGGAATATAAATCCTATTTTTGAAATAAAAGATTCCATCTTTTTTGAACAATTTAGGAGTGGAAGGTAGTTCAAATTCTTTGAGAGATAATTGTTTAAGTTTATCCAATATAGTAGTTGTAAGTCCAATAATTTTATTGTTTGACAATATTGAGAAGACTTTCTCTTCTGAAGAAGGATTACAAGGAATTCTGGAAAGAGTATCAGCTTTTTTTGTTACGAGATACAGCAAATTGATGAGAGGAAGAAGAGGGAAGGGTTTTCAGAATTGAGGTATTAATTCTAGGCTTACTTCCCTTCGAGCAGTTTAGAAGAGGACATTCTTGTAAAAGATGGTCATTAGAGGCACAATATATGCAGAGATTTAAATCTCTTCTTCTTGATTTTTTTCTTCAATAGACAAAGGTCCCCTAATAAACCCAACTTCCATAGGTTCAATTGGTTGCAAGGGTTTATTAGGCATTCGCAAAGGAGGACTGGGTTTTTTCCAAAGTGAATTAGAGAGAGCCTTTTTAGCTTTATGTTCTCTGATTCTTCTATCTATACTGATAGTTGAATTAATGTATCAAGCGTTGGAGGAAGAGTGGTTCTAGATAATTCATCTTTAACTGTTTCAGACAATCCTAAATGGAACTGATTACGTAGAGCTATATCATTTCATTGGGTTTCTGAAGCCCATCTTTTGAACTCAGCTATATAATCCTCCACAGGACGATTTCTTTGTTGTAATGATCTAATAGTAAGATCAGCAGTGTCACGGCAAGGGTGTATAATTTATTATTACACTATGGAATATCATCTTTTAATGTAATTTGTGTAGTAAATGGCACAAATTACAGAGATGCTATTGCAGAGGTCAACAGGGGTTACATCTTTTGAAGCTGGGACCCCCACAGAGGTCAGATGACAGAAGGGGTAGTGTGAATGGCATAGCAATGTGAAAAGGATTTTACTATATGGATGTGAAGTAATCAATGATCTGCAAGGTGTGAGGTTCTACACTTGGAAAAAGTCTGAATGTCTCTTCATCCATTTGGCATGTACCTTGTAAAGGATAGTTCAATCATTTGAAATGGTAATGGGATTCGTTTCATGAAGATCCTTGTGTTCCAGTATCTTATCCAAGTGAAACATTCATACTTACCCACAGGTTAATAATTAAGCCTCATTTTTATTATATTTGGAATGGGACAAGCCCAATCTTTTAATTAAGCCCAAACATGAGTTGCACAACTTAAACCGTGTGGCAGGACTTGTGATGTCCGTCCTATTGGATCGTGGGCGGGGCGTGCAACATGTCTTTGGAATGGGAAAACAATAACAAATTCATAGAGGCAATTATTATTTCTGTGGCAAGTACAGTAGAGGAGATAAAACCAAAAGTTTGTATGTGGGTTGTTGGTTTCTGGAACAAAGGAGGCGTGGCAATTCACAGGGTATATCTCCTGTGATTCTGAAGGGTGTTTGTGTACTTGCTTGGGGCCAAGATCTAATTTTGAGTGAGTCACCATCTTTCCTTGCCAGAGACCCCCTGGACAGACGTACTTTGAAAACCTAAGTGAGTAATTAGGACTTCTGTATTTTATCCTTTTTGGTTTTATCTGTCGTTGATGTAAATAATTTGTTTATCATATATTTTTTATATGCACTGTGACTATCTTTTGCTCATAATAAACATTCATTTATTAAGTTTTGCCTTTGTCTGGTTAAGAATCACAATACCTGAAGAGACTAGTTAGTATTTTTGCAATAACTTAAATATTGTACTAAGTAATATTTGGTGGGTTTTATTATTGATTTACCTGGGGGACCAAGGCACCCCATTTATAAATTGTCTGGTTGGTGGCAGCAACCAGACCCTGCTATTTGCAAGCTAACTTAGATGGATTCTATATATGTCACTTTTCCAGTCCTCTATGGTCATACAATAGCTTTATTTTAGACCTACTCCTTTGCCACGTTTTTGTCATGGAAGATACAATTTAGTGTTCTTTATGTCTGTGCTCTCTGCCCCTGTTAATAGATTATCCCTCTGTTGTTTATCCTTTGAACAGTAAGGCATCACAGTATGCAGAGAGAGGATCCCTCCCTCATAACAGAGATCCGCCCGCCCTTCGTGCACTGAATACATTGTACTGATAGGACCATAGCCACGCCCACCTGGTGCTCCGTCCCGCCCACCCCCACACAAGCAGTTTGGTTACCATAACACAGACAGCCGTCGGCTCCAGCTATTGCCAGCGCCCTGAGGTTACACAGCAGCACACCCCAGCTGCTGAATACATTTCTAGGGGTTAATTTCACCCGCGTTTTTTGGCGATCACCATGGGGACCACACAGAGATTGGGGTAAGCCTCACCTGTTTTGTATACTATGTACTTATTTGTTTTTATATATTAATGTTGGTTTGTGTAATGCACCTTATCCTGATGAAAGTTCTGTATTGAGAACTGAAACGTCGATTTTTTTTGTGGCAGCTGCTGAATAAAAGCTAAGTTTTTTTCACTATATAACTTTGGAAGTCCTTAGAGTGCTATTACCTACCATTTTATTTTTATGTTATTTGCTTTATTAGCACCAGGCATTAACTTATCTTTACAGGAGTGCAAGTACTTGAATATTTTATATATATATATATATATATATATATTTGTGTTCGGGGCATTCTCATATGATATGGAGTACTCTGGTGGAGAGTAATACAATAAAAGGAAATAGTCGGTTGAGGTGTACCGAAACCGATGTATGCTGTAGGCCGGTAAATAAAGTGGGCTTACATAGAAAAATATATATAGTTAAAGGGAGTGGAGGGTGGGGCTGTTCGTCTAGACCAACGAAGGTAAGTGAGGGAAGGGGGGAGTCCCTTAAGTAGGTCTATAGCCCCTCCCACAACTTCAGGCCCTGCCTTCCAACTTGTGTTCGGGGCATTCTCATATGATATGGAATACTCTGGTGGAGAGTAATACAATAAAAGGAAATAGTCGGTTGAGGTGTGCCGAAACCGATGTATGCTGTAGGCCAGTAAATAAAGTGGGCAAAAAGAGAAAAGCAAGATAACCATTTATTCGGTAAACATAAATACATAAATACATATACATTATTAAGTAGACATCTTAATGAAAGCCCTCCTAAGCTCTTGGACTGGGTGCGGGATGTAGGTGGCGTAAGCTGAGGACTTCCAGCGACCCAGTGTTTTAATGACATGAACGGGAACGTTTTGGCTAGAGGCTGTGGAGGCCGCTCCAATTCTGAAGGAGTGCCCCGAGTAGCTACTAGGGTTCAGACCAAGCCTGGTGATAAGCATGAATTTCGCTGTGGTGAGAATGGTATCGTGCAACATTAGTAGAGGTCTTGCGGGTTGTGTTGGTTTCGTGGCTAAGAAAACGTCTAGTGCTTTTACTGGGCACCAATTGTTACCCGTGGGGTAGTAGTTTATGTGAACTGGTTCCCCCATCTGACTTGTCTTAGTCTTAGATAGAGACAGGACGTAGTAGTCTGTGTGTTTCGTGAGATGTGACGTGAGGAGGCACCCTTGGTTATGTAGTTGGCCACTAACGGTGAATTCTCGTGGTCTAAGAAACCCATAAAAGGCCAGATACATGGCGGCTTTAATAACCGCATTTGTATTGGGTTCAAATGGTGCCTGGTCGAGTAGGTTGGACAAGGATTTAAACATTTCTATGTCAATAGCCAATCTTTAAGCGTTGCTGGACCGTCTGCCTTTGCTATACCCTTCAGTAGTGTGCGGATGGGGTATGAGGTTAAGAACCCTTTGTGGTTAGGGAAAGAGTAATACATGTGGTGTTGTATCCCCGTGAGGTAAAGCTTAATGGTGTTATGTGAGAATTTTAACTTAAGGTGGCAAAAGGATGCAAAAGCCATTAGTGACGATACCTCGAACCAGTTGGTTAGGTGATGGTCAGACATGAATCGTTTATATAGGTGAAAAGCTCTGTGATATGAGTGTTGAGTGCTAGTGGACAAATCTAATTTTGTGAGAGTGAGGCTGTGCTGAAGTAGTTTATCTACTCCATGACAAGGTCTTGGAAGATTGGCGCTGGGGTTGCCATACGAGCTGCCGAGGGTAGGGACCGCCTGAAAGCCTGAAATTGAAAGCAAGATAGCTGGTCAGCTGCCGTATTGTATATGCCGGGAACATGGGAGCATACAATGTGGAAGTGATGGGTAGCTGCCAGCCATGTCAGTTTCCTAATGAAGTTCATAATTATCAAGGAGGAAGAGCGGCCTTTGTTGATAATGTGGCATATTGCCATGTTATCAGAGAAACAGCGTACTGACTGACCTTCCCACAACCTACACCAAGTGACAGCTGCGGCAACTATTGGGTATACCTCAAAGAGGGCAGAGTTAGTGTGAAACCCCTCGATGCCCTGTGTTTCTGTTGGCCACGTCCCCCAGAGCCAATTTGTGTCAAAAATGGCCGCATATCCCGCGGATGATGCTGCGTCTGTCCAAATGACAGGTGACTGAGAATCCAGCTGTGGAAGGAACATGCTGTCACGATTCGGGGAACCAAACACGCCAACACACACACACACACAAAGTGCCGTACCGGACCTTAGAGTGGCCGGGCTAAGCACACAAAGAATAGTCAGGAAACAAGCCGAGTAAAGGGGAACCAGAAGACAGAATAACGATAGACAAGCCGAGGTCAAAGGGTAAGAGAAAGTCACAAAGTCGGATAACAAGCCAGAGAGTACGTAACCAGAAGCACAAGTTCAGAATCAATACTAGCAAGTAAAGACCACAACAGGGCGAAGAGGAACAGGAAAGGTGAGTATATAAATCCAAAGGTTAATTCTGATTGGATAATTTCCCATCAGAATTAACAATCACACGTGGGAGATATCTAAACCTCTCACTGTGATTGAGGCACTGTGCCTTTAACGCCGGGTCAGGTGACTGACCCCGGTGTTTGTTAAAATGGGCGGTCTCCCAGCGTGCAGCGTCATGCATGCTGCCGCTGGGGGACACAGAGGAAGAGGCGGACGGCACCCGTGGGAGAGAGGATGCCGCCCGCCGAGCACACGGCTGGAGGGGGACCGCGGACGGCTGGAGGGTGAGTGCCGCGAGCGGACTGCAGCCTCCCCTCGCAGCCGCCCGTGGGACCCTGACACATGCTCCTACCATTCCAGTCAGAGAGGAATTTGTACCACATCTGAAGGTCGGCAGTCGCAGGGCAGTTCAAGGATATGCGGGCATAGTCGTTGGTGAAGGTGGGGAACAGGGCGAGGAGCCTGGAAATGAAAGCCCTGCCCTGGGGGATTATGCGTATGGCGAAATTTAGTGAACCCAACAGTGATTGTAGTTCCTTGCGTTTGCATGACCCCCTGTGCATGTAGTGGTTAATGTCATGTAGTCATGTAGAATGTTATCAATCTTTGTTCTAGGGAGGCTGGCCATCATAGTTGCTGAATCCAGCAGAATACCTAGAAAGTTGATGACTGTGTCTGGACCTTCAGTTTTGCTGGGTGATACGGGGACCCCGAGTGCGGTGAATAGTTTGATAGCTTTGTCTAGGCTACACGGGGGGTTGGTATTGGCTTCGATGAACAGAAAATCATCCAGATAGTGTATCACATTTTGGCACCTACTGGTATTAAGGAGGAGCCAACACAAAGCTTCTGCGAATGTGTCAAAAATCCTTGGACTACTCTTGGCCCCAAAAGTGAGTTTTGTGAAACAGCAGTAGGCTTCTTGCCACTTAACTCCATGCAGGTGCCATAACGAGGGGTGTATAGGTAACAGTTTAAAAGCATTGACTATATCCGTTTTGCTAAGCCAGGCCCCCACCCCTGCTGACCTGATAGCTGCAATAGCGTGGTCAATAGTGGAGTACTGTAAGGAAATCTCTTCCGAAGGAATCAATGAGTTTAGGCTGGGGATGGCTGAAGAGTGGGGTGCGGATAGGTCAATGATGAGCCTTTGTTTATCTGAATTTTTGCTTGAGACCAGCCCGATAGGGTTAGTTCTCCAGCTGGAAAAGGGGGGATTACCAAAAGGACCGATGACAAATCCTTGGTCCACTTCCAATTGTAGCAAGTTAGTGACTGCAGTAGGATTATTAGTGGCTGACTGCAAATTGTGACATTCTAACACCCCTGTTGGCATGTAAATGAGCCCTGTGTGAAACCCGTGGGTGAGACCTGTGCATAAAAATTCCACCAGGTGTTTAGAGGGGTGAGTGGACAGCATGTGTTCAAGTACAGGAACGTTCACTGGAGACAAATAAGGTTTCTGGAACATTTTATTTGCGCACATGGATTTCGCATGTGCCCGAAAACAGTGTGAGCACACGTGTAATAAGCGGCAAGCGCTGTAACCACAGGAGCCTTCATTTAAATTATTGCAAATTTGTTACTTGCCTAGGTACACTACTAGACGACCCAATTTGTCTCTGGTCTGTTTCTCAGCTTTAAGGGGGTGCTGTAGGGACGTGCTGGGAGCACTGTCCGGGCAGAGAGGGCACAAATAAGCTGTGTGAGCGGGTGACGTACATATGGCACAAGCTGGTGTCCTGAGCCCCGCAAAGTGTCTGAGGAACAATTCATTGTCCAGTTGGCTCCAATCCATCTGGATGCCATACTGGGACAATGTGGCTGACACTTTAGATGAAAAAGACTTGTGATAGTCATAAAAGGTGTAACCACCATATTTGTTACCCAGGTCCACCAGCTTATGCATATATAAGTCCAGTTCCTCTCTCCTATGCGGATGAACTGTGCACAGGATATCCCTAAAGATACCAAAAGACAGGACAAAATCGGGAATGGTCAATTTCTTACTGAGTCTGGGGTCTCTGGCTTTTAAAACAACAGAGATGTCCCCGTAGTCATAAGAGCGGTTTTCCACTACATCCTGGGAGGCAATGAGCAAAGAGACCAAGTTTACGTCCTTGCCCTCCAGGATGACTTTTTTAAGATTGGCCGGAACCATGTGGGCAGGGTTAATAACGTGTGCCGCTGCCTTGTTAGGTATAGGATTACCCGCTATTGCTGTGGGTATGACCGGGGCTGCTTCAGCGAGAGGCACAGGTGGCTCTATGGTGGAGCTGCGTGCTTCCAGCCTTTCCAGTCTGTCGTTGACCTTCCCCATAGAAGAAATTAGGGAGGAAACCATAGCATGGAGAGTCGGGTCTTGGGAGCTACTAGTGCCTTCCCCCGCGTCCGTAATAAGGGTGTTTGTTCTAAGCAATTTGAACAGTTCTGCTTTCCTGGCCGTGGCCGGGAAAGGGATACTGCGTTTGTGTAATTCCGCCGTGATGCGAGGGATAGTCCACGATCTGATGGACGAGGGACTTCCTATGTCGTCCTTACGCGTCGGGGTAAGTGACCTAGCCGAGGTGCTAGGGACTGACATATCCTCACCATCGTCTGGGAGCAGGGACATACTGAAAGTAATAATAGGCATTGTTGGTGGCTTGTTGGGGAATAGCCGGTAGCTAGCTAGTGCCAGATGGCGAAAAACTTCAATCTAGGTTTCGTGGCAGGTGAGGCCCTGATAGTGCCAAGTGGCTAGAGAGGCTCTATCTATGAGTTGGCGCGAGGGGTATGATAACCTGCCCAGTGAAACGGGATGTTGCCTCTCCAAGGGTAAGTAGGGAGGAAGGGGGGGGGTGGTGGAGGTTTGGTAGTGACAGGTGTCACCCTCTCTATATAATTGCGAGGTGGCTAACTATGATTTGGCCCGAGGGGCGTAAAGTACCTCGAAGTGGAGGATGGGAGTTGGCCTCGCGGACCTCTATGATTAAGGGGCAGGGAATTAACTAACGTGGCGTTTGTAGAAAAAGAAGCGTGTAACCGACGTACCTGCAGAAAATTGAGCACTGGTTCTGTGTAAGAGAATTCAGGTGTCTCTTGAGTGGGGGGGGGGGGTTAGCTTAGGTGAACCGTCCGAGGGTATGCGGATTCCTGGGGGTGTGAGAATTTAAGATAATGTACTCTCATGTGGAACATATATATAAAATTGGCGTAGTAAGAGTTATGGGGGGGATTGCTGCGAAATACCGTCCCCCCCAATGTACATAATGCTTGTTAAGACTTAACGTTACTATTATACTTGCAGAATAACTCTTAACATATCTTACCCAGTAATAAGTAACCATATATGACATGCATCATATTTAACAAGCAAATCATACACTATATTAAAAATGTGTATAGTTAATTTAACCAGCATCCTATTTAGCAGTATATGTGTAAAACACAGACGGTTTATATATGAAAGTACTTAATGTATCTTAATATTAATTCAACATATAAATATACCAGTTGTAAACATTATTGACCGAAAGTGCCTATTTATGCATAACAAATGGTGGTGGCTGGCTGAACTAAGGGTCAACCAGCAGCAGAACGTCCCCTTTAAGCAAGGTGGGCCTTTATCATCTATTCCCCCCCCCAAGTGTGTGGTCGGTGGGAACAGGGACCCCTAATGTTATAGGGGTCTGGTTGTGGCCTGTTCCCTTCCCGGCAGTAAGAAAAGTACCCCCTCCCCTATAAGCGTGATTCCCCCAGCGGCCGGAAAACAGAGACTCCTAAGTGGTAATGGAGTCTCTGTTCTGTGTGCCCGTGTGGGAGCTCAGCTTACCGCACCGGACCGGGTAGGCGAGGAGGGATGAAAACCGCCGTTCGTGCCGGGTTAGGAGCCAGTGGAGCAGACGGAAGTCAGCGCGTGACGTCAGAGGAGGGCGCCGCGTCTCGCCGGAAGTGACGAATTGAACCAGGAAGTCGGGAGCGACGGAGGCCTGCGAGTAACAGGCTGTTCGTCTAGACCAACGAAGGTAAGTGAGGGAAGGGGGGAGTCCCTTAAGTAGGTCTATAGCCCCTCCCACAACTTCAGGCCCTGCCTTCCAA